ATAAATAAGTACCATTCTGATCATTTCCTCATTGATTTCAATTTAAGAGCCACCGGTAGACAACTGTTTCAGCCTATTGGGCATCGTCAGTACCGGGCAGGTGGTCCTCGATTGAAGACAAAATGTGAAAAACCAAGAAAATTACTCAATAAAAATAACTGCGTAAACGCAATACTTTTATTTCGGCTACGTTAATAATTTTAAAATGTTAAAATCACCAAAAATGTTATTTTCGAAATTCTTTTCCGCTCCGAATCTTCGAAACAAAGCGCCTTGTCAAAAATCATCAAAGGACAAAATATCCTTAGAATATCCAAGAAATAATCCCACAACTTTTTGCCGCATGTTTAATAACCACCCTGTATATTTCTATTTCACTTTTATTTCTATCAACTGCTTTGCAGTTATCGAGGCGTGAACATGAAACGTATCTTGCTTGAGACAAGAAACTACATTTTTAATTAAAGGTCGAGATAACGAGGGAACTATAGAGGCCAGGTATAGAGAGTCTCGCAAAGAATCCTCCACTTTAAATATCAATGCTGTAGAGTTCATATTTATTTATTAGTTAGATTGTATACTGAAGCGTTTATGAGATGGAATGTTATGCGTTTCAAGGTACATGCATGTTCAAAAGTTGCATTTCTGGTAATATAGACGTGTTTTGTGCTACTTTACATAATAATCAAATGAAATACTTTCAAAATGAAGGTTATTCTCGATAATGATTTTGATAGTAAGATCTCTGCCTTTCAGTCATGCATTATACTAAATGAAGGGTGTATGCGTAGGACAAAATTCCGAATTTTCGGAATTAAATAGAAACTTTTTTCATCGACCTTTTTTTTTGGGTATTTGTAACCTTCCATTAGGAAATATCATTAATTGAATCTGTTCTGAAAGATAACGCTTATCCAGATTCGTTCATAAATTCAACGATAAATGCAGTAGAAAATAAAGACTCGATTAAAAACCAAACGAACATACAAACAGCTTCACTAATTCAACAACATCCAACTCAACAGTTACCGACTCAACATCCACCGACACCATTTACAACTGGCGTTATACCTTACATTCCAAGACTATCTGAAAAAATGAGACGAATTGGAAATAGGTATGATGTTAGAACTACTTTCAAAACAAAAAATACATTGAGATGTATACTGACACATACAAAACCCAACAACACTGAAGAAAAAACAAAATCTGTATTTATGAGATACCTTGTTCTTGTGGTAAAAGTTATATTGGCGAAACCTCGAGACCATTGAAAGTGCGTGAGAATGAACATCGAGATTACATAAAAAAATAGACAATTGACAGTATACAAATTGATACAGAACACATTTTAAAATCAGACCGGGAACATCGAGTGGAATAGAACAAGACAAGAATGATTACCAATAAGCCTCACTCTATAGTATTTCTCAAAGTGGGCGATAACGCCCCCTTTTGGGCGCTAGAGGCCTATAGGGGGGGCAGTAAATGGCACAGATAAGATTGGGGGGGCGTTGAAGCGGTTTAGGGGGGCGAAGGCTAATTTAAAAATGTAGTTTGCTTATAACACAAACCTTACCGCTCCTTTACGCTTAACGCGCGTTTCCTTGTGTAACGCCATCTAAGGGACTAGACAGTAACTATTTCCGATAGTTGTCAAACTGTAAAATAGATGGCGGTGAGCTTCAGTGCGAAGCGAGAAGTTTCTAGTCTCCATTCTCGAAAGTACTAGGCCCGCCCGCTGATTCACATGAATGGGATTCCTTAAATCCAGATTGTTCTTTAATCAAAATATTATGTTTCGCTTAAAATTTCATCAATTGCTCTTTCACTGCGATTTTTAATATTTTCACATAAATTGGCAGGGTATTTATGGGTCTAAAATCAGATCCTAAAAAGGTGTTTGTAATTTTTTCAATAGGAACGATTATATTTAGATTAATTCCATTGTCATCTGTATTATTTTTCTTGAGGGAAAAATTATCTTTAACTCGCACATATTTAATGTTTCAAATTCCTCAAGTATCTCATTTGGTGGTATAATATAACTGAGAACATGATTATAATCATTTATTGGTACTATAATTTCGGTTAGATCTTTCAAACTGTCAACGAAAAATTAATTAAAATATCCTGCTACTTTTGCTTCATTTGTTACAAGAACACTATCAAATTGTATTCCTTTAAACTCTTGTTTTCTATTTCCTATTACTAAACCTTTCAGTGCTTTCCACATAGCTACACCGTTTCCTTTATTTTCGTCGATATTTGATTCATAATACTTTTCAGTTTCAATTCGTATCTTTTTGGTAACGTAATTATTTTATATTTATCCCAGTCACATTGTAGTTTGGTTTCCTTGGCTTTTTTATGAAAAAATTCGCGTTTTTTTATATCTGCCATGATTTCGTCTGTAAACCACACTTTCAATTTGAAATTATTGAAATTATGCTTCCTTTTGAATGGTGAATGTATGTCCAAGCATCTAATAATATTATGGATGAATGAATTGGATGAAAAATACTTACTCATAAGAAATAAAAGATAAGTTCCCCAGTCCATTTTTTTAGGATCACATTTTGCAGAATAGTCTATCTTCATATTTTGTTCCTCCGCTTCCTAAACCATAATTTCATTAGATAAATTCAATAAATAATAATAGAATCAGTAATAAGATGTAGAAGACCCTTGAGGACATTTGAAATGCATAAATCTACTTTTTCGACAAAATAGAAGCCATTGAAAACTTAGTTTCTGTAGTTCCTGCGGCTAAACTTTGTCTTAGACAGAATCTATTTCTATTGTAATTTGTTCAATAAAGTTGTAATATTATTGTTATGGATATGCACATACCTCATATAGAAGACGATATCTGAATCCATAATCGACAACAAGTATTACCATTATGAAATACCTGATGATATACAAAAAAGTATAATTCGATCGCAGTAACTTGTACAAAACATACAGGAAAAATAATGTTGTCAATAATATAGCAAATTGGGTGGTACATATTAAATTAAATATCTTCTCTTGTAAGGTTAGTAGAGAGTCAAAAATATCATCCGAATAATGTCTGCGGAAAACGTCACTCAAAGTACTGTCTAACTTCCTTAAACTTTCAATATTTATATTTTGATCGTTGACGAATTTCGACAAAAACTTGTAATTCTCACTGTCCGTGTTAAATTCATATTTACCACTCCTTAGCTTCGTGTTAGTCCCGTCAGCAACTGCAGAATTCAAAATCAAACTAACAACACGTTTTAGGTACACCAAAGTCGTTTTTTCTTCATCTCGACTTTCATAACTGCGGGTCACAGTTTCGTCAACATCTCGGAGACTTGATTCTCTTAAATATTTTTTGGAATTGGTATTCATATCATGTGGATCTACCCACTCAGTTAAAACTTGAACAATATTTGAAGACACCAATAAAACTAATACAAAATTCATTTTGACGAATATGGTGGAAGTTTCAAGTTTTTGAAATATAAAAGTCCAATACAACTTATCGATAATATTTACACCTAGATCTTATTTTAGACATATCAATATTATTCGATCCCCAAATTGTCAAGTAAAAAAAACGAACTTAACCGCTTAACCTAAAATTTTAAATCGAAGGATACTAAAGGACAGCGTTGCCAATCAAAAATTGTCAAATTCCTCAATTTCACCATAATAAAGGATTCAGTAATTCATTTGGAAAAGAAGAGGAATTTTATATTTTAATGTTCGCAACACCTGCTACCTAATTCATTGTGAACTGTCAGTTGGCTCCTTGGTGCAATAATAGCTATTTTTCTACACCCGTACTGTAACACTACACTTATGACATGAGTGTGTTAAAAGTAAGGTTTTATTTTGTGAGTGAAAAAGTTTGCGAAACGAGCGTAGCGAGTTGGCAATTTCACGAACAAAATAAAAATTACTTTCAACAACTAAAGGACAGCGTTGCCAATCAAAAATTGTCAAATTCCTCAATTTCACTAAAAGATTGGCTCCTTGGTGCAATAATAGCTATTTATGACATAAAGTTAAAAGTAAGGTTTTATTTTGTGAGTGAAAAAGTTTGCGAAACGAGCGTAGCGAGTTGGCAATTTCACGAACAAAATAAAAATTACTTTCAACACAAATATCATACAAAGTTTTTTGTACAACTGTCCTGTTGTCATAAAAAAATAGATAAATTTAATATTTCTATAAAAACACATTTTGACATCTCTTATCAGTTAACTATTTTCATGTTATCGCATTTGCTGTAAAGTCCAGATGAAAGTTGCTACTATTTTCAGAATATATGGAACCTGCCGGCGTGAAGAACTGTGCCATTTATTAATAGAAGACATTAAATTCATTGATTGTTCACATTCCAAATACAAAAACCAAAATAGGTCGTTTTTGTTGCATTGTTGGAAGAAACATTGACTATTTTAATAAATAGGTACGTTGCATTACGCCCTTCTGTTATCAATCATCAACGTTCTTACCTGAAATACTCAAATTATAAATGAAGTGCCAATCCACAGTGCACATAATTTAGAGGTTTCCAATCATGATGTCGTAAATAAATACATTACATTGCAAACCCTGGCTGAATCCTACGAGGTAGTTCAAAAAATGTACTATAGTATTGTACACCTCAAGTAGGTCTACAAAAAAGTCCGCGATGGTATATGTCTATCTTTAAAGGATACCCCAGAATAACCAATTTGTATCCTTGAGAAATAATGGCTTATTTACGAAGCACTTTTAAGCAATACATCATTATTCCTTATCCAATTAAGTATGTGTATTTAATATAGATCAGTATGGCCCTTTACAGTATGTAATTTAAATGAATATTTTTGAAGATTAGCAGCAATTGCAGGGAGTCGGGGCGGGTATAATCTTTGTATATAGACTATATATAAAGGTATAACTTATCGAACATTTTTGAAATAATAGCAAACGATCCCGCGATAAGTTGGAGTTGGGAAAAGATTTCAAACTTTATAGTGCCATCTAATACTGAGTAGTACAACTTTTTCGTTAATTGAAATTTTTGTGGAACAATGTCTCATATCTTTAATACGAAGCTGTTATCTTTGTATATGGTTAGTCTATATACAAAGTTCATATCGGTGTGGAAATAAATAAATACTGTTCTTCGATCTTTGCATCTAGCCAAAGGTTTGATATTTATCTTCCTAATGATTCCCGTTCACTGGGGTGACATCTAGAGATCAGGAAAGAAAGATATACTATTAGATGTGCCATCTATCGTCCGAAATATAATATTCAAGAAAATATTTGTCACTTTCTGTTTTTTATATCTAACCATGAAACCTGAAAACAAACAGAAAATGGGAAAATCTCAAAATGGCAGGAGTTAGATTGCTTGAGTGAATTCTTAAGTGAATCTGTTAGGATCATCCAAATTTCAATTATAGAGAGATATTGTTGAAGTGAGTTAACTAATACAGGTTCGTGTGAAGTGCACCTGAATATATAGTGGTTATGTGTGATACAGTTTAATTCAAATAACTCTTGTGTCATTGCACTTCTGTGAAAGTACACTGATCTCCAATAACAAGGTAGGCAAAAATTTAAATACCAAGAGGAACGCTTCATTCAATTTATGTTTGGAGCCGGTTGAATCAATGAAATTAAGATAATCTACAGCGAAGTTATTAATTGTAATTGAGCTTCCATCAAATTAGTTAATATTAAACTAGAAATCCTCAAAAAATTCTCAGTTTTTTTATTGGTATCAGCAAAATATCATCAGTGAAATAAGCATTTCAGTTTTATTGAAATATGGGGAATTTGGTTAATATACTTTTTCAAGAAGAATCAAATTATTAATTTGAAAATTGTTTTGAATATGCATGCTGTTAATAGTTTTCAGTTGAATATTTTTGAAAATCAGTTATTGATTAATTAAAAACTATTTTCATTCTCTCCTGAGAAATGTAAAGATCCTATTTTTTTTCTGACATGAAAAGAAAATATGGCTCAATTATTTGTTGCCCTGATTATTTGTCAGTACAGGCATTGAATTTCATAGTTTTTACTTTTTTGTAAGTATCATTATGACATTTTTAAACAGAGTTAAGAAAATATGTCTAGAATATTTTTATGCAATATAATAATTATTACCAGGGTATTGAGACTAACAATCAATTATTCAACTGACCCTGAGTTGTTAGACAATTCACCCCTCAAGGTGAGTGATGACTCATCATCGAAATGAGAACCCCAGTAAAATTTCACCCTGATGCTGACATATTATTCTGTTGAGGTCGACAAAAGCTGAGTCGACGGTGAATGAAACTGTGGAGGGTAATTTAGAAACAAAAGCTGCATACTTGAAAGGCTTCTTTGTAAATAGGTGCTTGCCTCTCCAATCAATTTCAAGCACTGACAAAAAATTCTCTCCAGTTTCTTCCCGAACTGCAATCTGATGTGTCTATAAGCAAATTAGTTTTTATGTGAGTTGAAGATGATTTTAGTTTCAAACATTTTCATTATTGACTTATCATAAATTATAGTGTTGGAAGGTATGTTACAGGAACTTATAATTTACATGTAAGGAAGTATCATTTTAATAAGTATGACATTGAATTATTCATATGTACTCTGTTTGAAATAGTGGATGTGATTGACCTTGAGTTCAATAATCATTATTATTTTTGGTATAAGTATATGTTTTTGTGTTGGAAATGTCAATGCTCGGGTTTCCATGAAATATGATAAATATGACAAACAGAGATGGTTGTAATTTACAATGGATCGACATCGAAGTCAGAAACGGTAAAACTCGGAATGCCACAGGGCTCTGTTCTAGGACCTCTACTGTTTCTTCTCGATGTCAATGATCTTCCTCAACATATAAAGGGAGGCCACGTCATAATGTTTGCTGATGATATAACGATAACTATAGCAGGCAATAATGCTGAGAAACTCATCAGCAAATCTGAACATATTACTGATCAATTCAGTACCTGGTGCCAAAGAAATAAGCTCATTCTAAATACTTCAAAATCGATCAGTGGTAACTTCCACTTCAGAAGAAATATTCCAATTGGTCGACGCTCTAGCTATAATATTCAAACTTCTGAAGAAATAACATTTTTAGGGACCCACCTAGACGCTAATCTAAATTGGGATAGGCAGGTGAACTATATATGTGCTAAGCTAAATACAGCATACTATGCCAAAAAACAGCTGAAATCCTGTTTGAATGAAACAAGCTTACTCAGCATATATTATGCCATGGCCTACCCTCATATGAGTTTGAATATTATGGCTAGGGGCAGAGCAAGGGATTTTTCCAGAGTCTTTATAGCACAGAAACGCATCATAAGTCTAATCTTTAATATGGATTTCCGGGATAGCTGCCGGCCCGTTTTTGTAGAAAAAAAAATATTGACAGCCCATCTTCATTCTCAAATGTATTTTATTTGTTAGGCAAAACAAAAAAATCACAAGTGACAAAGTATTTCATGTTTGTGTTGAAACTATGCTTTTAGAAAGATGCTATTACAGTTACTAAGATTTTTCAATTGACAATCTCACAATCAAATTCACAGTTAACGTAATTTTATTCAGATTAAATTGTGTAAATTTGTGGGCATATATGCTTATTTTTATACGTGTTTATATGTGCATCTATATATATACACAGTGTCACCATTAAAGTGCGCACCATATACGAAACTTTTTTTTCAAAAAGTTTCAATGAAGTGTAACTTCGGCACTTGTTTGTGCTTTAAATTTAACTTGATATGATGCGGCCAACTGCGACCCACTGACGTTCAGTGTTTGTCAAATTCAACTTTTTTTTTGAAAAAAATTGAAAAAGTGCATTTCTAGATTGAATTTAACAAAAAGTTACTTGAAAAAGTTGTTTCTACGGAAATTTTATATCCATATGCCAAATTTTATGCAACTAGGCTAAAGTTAACGTTTTGCTTATTTTTGACAGATATCCCCTTTATTTTAAAAAACAAGTTCGGTTAATTGTCATCAATTCATGTATACATAACAAAC